GTAGACAGCTAAGAACTCTGTCATCCTGTTTCACCTGCTCTAGTGTAAGTTACTCCAAAATAATGGGTCCTGAAGGCTGAGGTGGATGGCAGGCTGATTCTCCTGGGTGCCAGTCTGCTTTCCTACTCTACGCATAACGTGCAAGTTCTACGTAGAGTAGGAAAGCAAAGAGGAACTGATTATCAGGTCTAATTGATACGAACAGGCAGCAGTTGGGTGGTCAGAAGCCAGGACGGCTGGAGAAAAGCTGGAACGTAGAGCATGAGGCTTCCCAGACCAAGATGTTGAGGATTTTTCTGTGTCCAACGTAAGGACATTTTCCTGTGCTGCCTGGGATGTAGTTGTATTTAAATTGTGCTTTTAAAATGAGCAAGATTGCAATAAATAAATAGGGAGATAAATACTCCAGAGATACAGTATAGCATAAGTGAAAAACAAGCCAGATAATATAAGTCATATTTGGTGAATGATTAGTAATTAAATCTGGTAGCGTCATGGTTTTCCAATACAAGAGGGGGGAATGATAAGGTTGATAAGTAGTTGAGTAAGTTTGGAGTTGCATTGTTGATGCCTTTGGATTTTAGGCTGAATGTCATCAGCGGTAGAGGACTCTAAATAAGATGGCAGATTAAATACTGAAAATTTCATTACTATCTGAAATTTCACTAAAACTAAAGAAAAAATCTTTTTAATTTTAAATGGTAAGAATTAAGAAGTATAAGAACATAGGACTGTAAAATAGGTAGTGGGGGGGTACTTGGCGGGAGGGTGAATGGAGGAGATGAAGGTGAGGGAATGTGGTCGATGGGCTTCACATATGTATATGAAATAGAACTATGAAACCTCTTGTGATAGGTTTAAGTGGAGAGGAAGAAGGTTGCAGGGTAGAGGGGAGATGGCAATCTAACTAATGTGTAATGTAAGGCTATTCAAAATTGGCACAATGAATTTCCCATACAATGAATATATGCTAATAAAAATGAAAAAATCATTTAAAAAAAAGAATAGAAAATGAGACAATAATGACTTACTTGGTGTCTGAAAAGCAAATGGGTAACTGACCTAGCAAGCTGGGAAAAGCAAATCTTATCTGTCAGTGGGAAAACCTAGAAATGAGCCAGTTTGCTCCTCAGAATCCCCAAATGGTTCAGAAGTTCTCAGGACTGGTAACCAACTGGTGAAGGTTGGGAGGGCCAAAATAGGAAGGACTTAGTGCTCCCATTTCCCACTATAAACTTCTCCCACTCTGGAAGAAATTGGGAGTCTTGTTCTCTGGAGAGGACAAAGCAGAGAGTTTGAATTGGGAGATAGCTCACACATTTGAGGATGCAGTTAATAGAATGAAAACACATGGGTTGAGTATACTTATGCATACTGAATAAAGATTGCAGGGACTGGCAGAGTGGCTCAAGCAGAAGAGTACCTGCCTAGCAAGCATGCAGCCCTGAGTTCAAACCCCAGTGCCACCAAATAACAACAGCAAAACAAAAACAAAAAAACCCAAAGATTACAGAAGCCCCACCACTACCCACCCCTCAAGTTCTTCTTTTCTCACTTGGCTCCCAAAATACTGGAAGCCAGATTTCTAGCTTTCACATAAGATAGTGAAAAACCAGCTTGAGAGGAAAAACCTAAGGATGGTTTCCCACCAAAGCCCACCCCAGAGCCCTGTATGATAATGCTAAAGTTCACAAACGCACCCATTAACTCAGATTTTCCAAGCAAAATTGTAATTTCTCCCTCTTAATCACTGAACAGACAACCAAGGATCATCATATATTAGAGTAATCCTTCCATGAGGACTATATTGACCAAAGGAAGAAGCAACCTGGAAAAAAAAAACCAAAACAGGTCTGGAGGAGTGGCTCAAGTGGTAGAGCACCTGCCTAGCAAGTGTTAGGCCCTGCATTCAGCCTCCAGTACCACAAAGAAAAAAAAAAAAAGCCACCCTACCATTAATATCCTTAGAGGGCTAAAAGATTGTGTTGCAAATTGTTGTGTTGTTTCTTTGTAAAAAAGAAACATTCAGAGAATAACAAAGAAACTGGAAATAAAACACAACAGCATAAATTAAAATACAACAAAAATTTGGAAGATAAGGAAATCTTTAAGAAGTGGAACAAAAAACAAAAAGATGGACAATGGAAGAGAAATATAAGAAAACAGGAGAATCAAGCTAGAAGATTCAACATTTGGGAATCCAATATCCTAAAAGAGAGATTAGAGAAATCAGTGAAATAATTCAGGAAAATTTTCACATGGAAAGGACGAGTTTCTGGATAGAAAAGGCCACCTGAGTATTAAAGTGGATGAAGACATTTTATGATCTTTCAGAACATTGGAAAGAAGATCCTAAAAACATACACATAAAAAGGAGTTGGCTATTTGCAATTTCTTAATAGCAACACTGGAAACTGTAGACAATGAAAATGAGTGCCAACCCAAAATTCTATGCCAGACCAAATTATTATTTAAGTGGGATGGTAGAGTAAAAATATTTTCAGATACACAAAACTCACTAAATTTACTTTTGATATATCCTATGAAAGCTATTGGAACATATGTACCACAGAAGTAGGGAGTCAGTCAAGAAAGCTGAATACATAGAGCACAGGGAGCAGAAGATTCAGCTCAGGTTGACTGTTGTTTCCCAAACCAAGGACATAATTTGTTCAGATTGGAGCAGGTTTGGAGATCTGTGTGTAAGGACCATGCAGTATTCCATATCTGTAAGTGTCACCCTCTGGAGTGAACAAGTGGACACAGTGAAAGCCCATGGAACTTCACTTTTATTTCAAGATCCCCAATAATGCTAGGATATGGGCAGGATTGGAAACCAAAACAATTAAGATTTTTTTTTTTTTTTGTGGTAATGGGGCTTCAACTCAGGGCCTTCACCTTGAGCCACACCACCAGCCCTATTTTTGTGAAGGATTTTTCGAGATAGGATCTTGTGGAACTATTTGCCTGGTTGGCTTCAAACCATGATCCTCCTGATCTCTGCCTCCTCAGTAGCTGGGATTACAGGCGTGAGCCACCAGTGCCCTGCTAAGATGTGTTTTTAATATGAAGTGTTGCTCCAAAGACTTTTTTCTCTATTAATTATCCTAGCAAGTACCTTCTGACTTCCTTAGAGTGTTGTGTAGAATAAAATCAAATCTGCCTGAATAAAAGGAACACACACACACACACACAGAGGCAGTGGTCTATGGAAAGATTTATAAGATCACAGTGGTGTGACTAGATAAAAGAAATGGGAGGGATACCTTCCTTTTACTATACCTTGTTGTTCCTTTGGTGTTTTGGATAGAATGAAGGATAAGAGAAACAGGAGACCAGGATCAGTTGGATAGTGGTTATCATGTTCTTAGAATGAGTAGATAAGGGCCTGAATGAGAAAAGAAGGGACTGGGGCCAGAGCTGGAAAAATACTTGCCTGGCCTGCTGATGAGTAGGATGATAGGGAAGGAAGTGGGTGCCGAGGGAAAGGTCAGAAGGCAGATGTCAGAAATGACTCTGCTTTCAAGCTTGGGTTAACAAATATGAGGACATTGAGTGAGTGAAACTGGCTTCAGAATGGCAAAGGGAGGAGGGTGGATTGCAGAAGAATAACTGGGAGGGTTGGAGGGGGAGTAGTTGGAGGCAGCAAATAGATTTCACTTTCCCTCTGACCAAAATCTCATTTTCACTGGTCTTGTCATGTGCCTTATTATCCATAGCTTCTGACCTTATCAGATGACAGAATAGCTTGCGGGGAAACTCAATGACAAGTCCTCTAGTCACCACCTCTGGGGGGCTGAAGGGTATAGTAATCAACCTATAGGTTGAGTGGTGTAGACACTCACCCTGTAACCAATCAAAATGCTGTCTCTTCTATAGTTAAAGAAGATAGGAAATATTGTGGGATGTGTGTGTGTGTGTGTGTTGGGGGTGCTTTGCAAAATCTCCCCCAGCTCTACCTCTTACAAAGTTAACACTGGATAAATTACTAGGATGACTCTGTGCTTAGGTTTCCTCATGAACAAAATGGGCACCATAGACCATTACCTACATCTCAGGGTCATTGTGAGGGCTGAATGGGCTAATGAGTTCAAAGGTTTAGAAGAGCACCTGGCACATGGTAAACTCGCAGTAATGTTAACTAGAACTGTTATTATACCTGATCACTTCTTTCAATCCATTTTAGTTCTATTCCCCCCCCAAACTTTGAGCACAGCAGATTTAAAGAATTTAATACACAAAGGAGAGGTGTTTCCACAAAGGGTAATTGGTGAAGGTTAATGTTTCATTTGATAGTTAAACCAATATGTTTTGGGCACTATCTTCATGCTAGAGATCCATTGATGAGCCAGCCCTGCCCTCTCAGAGTCCAGATGGGTTTCTTTTTTCCAGAATCATCCTGGCTCTTCTTACATGGTATACGTATGCATGCATGTATTTATTTTATAATCAGGGTATTTTCAGGAAATATTTTTCATTAAGCTTCTGTACATACAAGCATATGTTTTTGGTTTTTTATTGTGCTGGTTGGGGGTACACTGTGGCATTTATAAAAGTTCTTACAATATATCATATTTGAATTCACCTTCTCCACTATTCTTTATCTCCTCCCCCCATTCCTGGAATAGTTTCAACATGTATTGTTTTTCTAGTCACATACATATGACAAGCACATCATTTTAAAGTTACTCAGTGGAAAGGTTACATGCTGAAAAGCAAGTATCCCTTCCTTATTCTGAGATCCTAGTTGTCCTCAGAAGTAGCCACTCTTACTTGACTTTTTTATATCTCATTACTGAGATAAACATATAGGCACATATAAGCCCCTGTTTCTTATATGGTTAGGGGGAAAGGAGGTGAAGAGAATTTGAGGTGGGTTAGAGAGCCATGGAAATGTCAAAGGATAGAGGGAATATTAAGCTACAAGACTTGGTAGTACTGCTGAAGTTGAAGCAGAAAATATAAACTTAAATAAATGTAATAACACTTTATTAAGAGCTATTCTGTATAAAACATGTTATAGCTGGGGATGTATCTCAGTGGTACAGGACTTGCCTAGCATGCACAAAGCCTGGGTTTGATCCCCAGCACCACAAGAGAACAAAACATAATAGAAGCCAGCTGGGTGCTAAAAGTCTAATGTGGTCAGGGGAAGGATGTATTTATGGTAATATTACAAGGATAAACCTGACTACCACAGCAGTCTACAACCCGTGAGGGCCCTTTATGTAAAATATAAAGAACAATTTTTGTGTCTCAGGCCTCCCAAAGTTTACTTCAGGTTTGGACTGAGGCTGCTACATCCCTGACTGATGCTACTGGGTTTCCTAACACATTTCTGCTAAGCTGCTTCTCTCCTGCACTTAGTTTTCCTATCATTTCTTAAGCATAAACAGTTCTCAGATCATGAGCCTTGCTCTGGGCCATATCATATTCTCTAGGACATCTTCAGGCCAAGGAAGCCTTTGGGTGTTGTATATTCAGCTCTTCCTCTCTCAGCCACGAATTGAAAGAGTTTTAGGCCTCCTTCCATTCATGTGGTCAAGATGATAGCTTTCTTCACCAACTCTACTTTCAGCCAGATGAAATCTCATAATAACTCGGGTATCATCAAATCCCTCACCAAGCAGCAGAAAACTACTGTCTGTCTTGTCTGTCTAAATCTGTTTGTGCAGACTGTCCATCTGTGTCTTCTCCCAAGACTTATCGAAGGACTGGACAGATCAAACATTCCATGTGCATCTCTATTGGTCAAGTTCTTTCATTTTTTTCTCTTTTGAATTTCTGGTTTCTTTTTCTCTTGGTTCTTGCACAGCTGCTCCAGGCCATCATCTGAGTCACTTTTTTTTTCCCCCAAGAACAGAACTAGGGCTCAGGAGATAAAGCACTTTCCTGCCTTCTTCAGTGTTCTCCGCAAAGATTTGTTAATGGCTGGTTGACAGGTGGATACTCCCAATATTAGCAACAATCCAAATAAAAGTGACTCCAGTATTCAGGGCTGATTCCATCTGTCTCTCCTGATTTCCCAGAATTGACCTTTCTCTGTTCACTGTTGCCCATACGCTAACCAGAGCATCATACTCATTACCTATCCTGACAGAGAAACAAGCATTTCTTATAAGGCATAGGCCTTTCTCTAGAACATAGTAATTACACTATTATAGTTTACATTTCTTTATATTTTAAAATATTAATATGAACACTATAAAGTTGTAAAATACATTATTCCAACCTGACAGAAGAGGTAGTTGTTCAGTCACAAGTATACAAAATGAAATGAGGCACCACCTTAGAATGCAGGGCAAATAAAAACCAGTAATTCCAGAACCAGGAGTTCCATATGAAAACATGTTTTGCAAAATTAAGAGAAGAATCTGATCTGAAACAAGAGACATTAGTCCTAAACATTATTCCCAAGAGAAGTACTATCCAGGTGGGCTTGGCTATGAGTATGCTCTGAATTAAAAGAAATCAGAGAATTAACCTCTCCTCCCAGCACAGAGCTGGCATTGTAGGGCACTATTTCACTCAGTGGGAGTCCTGGAGCCCCACTGTTACAAAAGGTTACATTCTCTTGCCTTCTGGGAGAAATGAAAAAGGTTTCCCAAAAACTTGCAAAGGGAAGGGTATAAAAATGGACACTTGTATGAACTTTTCTCTTTAGTTAAAATCTGTAGTACTTTTGTCATCTGAGAGCATCTCTGAACTGTGATCAATACACTGGGCTTCTTCATTTCTTCTTTTAGATACTCTGGGGAAAATAGGAAAAAAAGAATTGGGTGAGATTTCACAATACAATCATTTTCTTTTTCTAGATTTCATTGATAAGGCAGATATGTAATAGCAGTGAGTAGACAGAGAGGTGGAGGCAGGAGAAAAGAACCTTTCTCTACACAGTCATCCAAGCTTCTTTTGACAACTACCTTATTTTCATCTGCCCCTGCCCTTTGCTGATTCCCTGTGGCCTTCCTTCTGTGGGTTGTCCCAGACTATTTCTGAAGCAAGTCTGGCAGGATGGGCAGGACCTCAGTACCCTGGCTCCCCATCCAGGATGCCTGGAATAGTTTTGTTCCTCAAATCACAGCATATCTGGATACATGCCAGGCACTCTGGTGGCCTCAGCAGCCTGGGGTCATGACCTTGTCTCTGTGAACAGACTTTTGACTGAGGATTGTTTTGACCTTATGACCATGCAAAGCCTTGATATCCTTGAGTGCCCAGTCCTTCAGGAAGGATGGAGGTCCAGACAAGCTGACTGCATCAGGCTGTGAATGAGTTTATTACCAGGAACTTCCATATATTCTTTCAATAAATGAACACTGAGCATGGTGCCAGGCATTGTGCTGGGTGTAGGCAGCTCAATGATGGAGTTAAGTTCAGTTTATTCCATAGAGTTTAGTTTAGTTTAGTTTAGTTTACTTAATAGAGCTTAGTAAGATAATTTCACAAATATGTAAGTATAATCTGTCATTATGCAGGGAAAAGTTGGGATCTACATGACACTGTAATAGGTAGACAGTATTTAGTTTGGGGAAGGTTTTTAAAGAAAGTGCTACTTGAGGCAAGATCTGAAGAATGAGAAGAAGAAATGGCAGAAGAACCTCCAAGCAGAGGTCATGGCAGATGCAAAGGCACTGAGGCTAAAGGGAACATGTTATTACTCTTCATATTTCATGTATTCATTCCACACATGTGGGACGCCTACTAGTTCAGTCACTGTAGTAGGATGCTGAGGTTACCATGGTGAGTAAGATGCAGGCTATGTTTACCATGTTAGAACCCCTGAATTTTTACTTGACCATGACTTGACTTGCCATGCCTTCTGGGCATTGTGCATTGGATACTCTGCCATCCACTTATAGACAGGTCACTTCCCTCCAGGTCCTAACCAATCTCAATTTCCTCTCCTTCGCCAGTATCTTATTTTTGCTGATGTCACAGCATGCCTCAGGCTCAAGCCTATGCATGTAATAAATACCCTGGACATCAAACCTCTTTTAACAATGTTGCAGGGTCTGGACTCACCTTTCCTCAATCTCTTCACTCTCTTCCTCTTCTGCAGTTTCTGAAAGAGACCAAAAACAACCTCAAAATTTGTATTCCTTACATATAAATATGAGAAGAAAGTTCAAACAGGCTTCAAAGATCTAGATTCAGAGAGAAATTGTTAGGACCTTATACTTGGAAGAAATGGCTACTTAAATGATGCAATTTCAGTGGGACTGGGAATGAGTTCCTTGCATCCAAAATGTAAAATGTTTCTCTTACTCTATCCTCAAGGAAATAAAAACAACACTGGGAAGGGTAACACATTTAGTTTTAGCAATCATTTAGTGATCAGAAATGTTTCCAGTGCTTTTCTAAAAACAAGGCTTAGGAAGCAGACAAAAGGGAATCTTGAAGGTGCTGATGCCTAAATGAGTTAGCCAGCTGGGGCCACCAAGTACTATACATTGTTGCATAGACAGGCCCAGCTGGGAAACCTCTAGTCAGCTAGACCTCCCAGAGCCTCAGGTGCTATTTGTTTGAATTTACAGTTTGGGTATAAATTCCTCTAGGCTGACTTGACTGCTGTGTCAGTACTATTGTCTCACTCAGAGTCTCACAGAAGGGATTGTTAATCTGAGCATTCATGAAGGAATTTAGGGACCACAGGAATCCTCCCAACAATATCCCTGATGGTTTTTGTGACTTGGTCTTTTCTAAATAGGGTCTTCTTGAGTACTTCCTGTCATTGGTAGTTCTCTTTTATGTGTGTGAATATTTTAAAATAATTTATCTTTATGGAGATATATTAATGGACAATAAAATTCAGCCATTTTCAGTATAAAGTTTGATAAATTTAATAAATGTATACTATTATGTAACCATGACCTCAGTTGAGACAGAAAACATTTATGTAAGTTCCAATCTGTCCCCTTTCAATCAACTACTTTTCTCTATCCCATTCCTTAGCAATCATTGATTCATTTAATGTCACAATAGTTTTACTTTTTCTCAGATTTCATATAAATAGGATAATATAATGTGTCTGGCTTCTTTTACTTAGCATAATGTTTTTGAAATTCATCTATGTCATTGTGTATCATCAGTGGCTCATTCCTTTCTACAACTTAGCATTTTTTCATTATGGGACTATATTCTTTTGTTAAATGAGAGCTTGCCTCCTATTTGTTAGTAGTAATATATAATTATATATTCTGGATATACATCATTTACTAGACATATATTTTGCAAAATATTTTCTCCAAGTCTATGCTTGACTTTTTGAGTTCTTAATAAACCAAAGGGTAATTTTTAAAAATTCTGACACATCCCAGTTTATCAAATTATCCTTTTATAATATGTCTGTGTGTCTTATCTAAGAAGGTTTGCCTAATCTAAAATCACAAAAAAAGGGAAGATAAAACAGGTCCTTCCCAGGGGTTGGCACCAGTGGGAGGGGGAGGATATAGGGAAAGGGTGCAGGAGGTGAATATGGTGGAAATAGTATGTACTCATGTATGAAAATGGAAATGAGACCTGTTGAAACTGTTCTAAGAAGGGGGAAAGGAGGGATAAAGGAGAATGATATAAGCACTTCCATAAATGTCACAGTGTACCCCCAATACAATAATATGATAACAAAAATAAAATTAAATTACAAAAAATAAAATAAAAATAAAGTCACAAAGATTTTCTCCTATGTTTTCTTTCAGAAGTCTTCTAGCTTTAGCTCTAATATTTACTTCTATGATCTACTTTATTTTTTGCATGTTTTCTTCTTCCATTTGGATATCTAATTCTCCCAACACCATCAGTTGAAAAGATTATCCCTTCTGCAAGGAAATGCCTTGGTAACTTTGTCAAAATCAGCCAATTATATGTGTTCATATTTTGACTCTGCTTTGTTCCATTCACTGATCTGTCTGTCCTTTCACCAGTATCAGGCTGTTATGATTACTGTAACTGTACAGTAAATCTTGAAGTCAGGTAATGCAACTACCATATTTGTTCTTATTTTTTCAGAATTGCTTTGGCAATTGTAGAGTCTTGCATTTCCACCTTTTTAAGACAGCCTTTAAATTTCTGCCAAAGATCCTTCCAGGATTTTGTTTTGAATTCATTGATCAATTTGGGGAGAATTGATATCTTAATATTTTATCTTTTGATCCTGAACATAGCATATACCTCCAACTAATTAGGTTTACTTTAATTTCTATCTGTATGTAGTTTTCTACATATAGGTCTTATACATGTTTTGGGAACTATATAATCGTTAATATTGTTTGATGTTACCGTAAGTGGTATTTAAACACTTTTTCAGGGATGGGAGTATGGCTCAAGTGGTAGAGTACCTACATAGCAAACACAAGGTCCTGATTTCAAAACCCCTGTACTGCAAAAAACAAAAGCAAAAAACCTTTTCTAATTTTGTTTGTTTTTACTATGGAAATACAATTGATCTTGATTTTGTGTATTGACCTTGTATCCTGAGACTTTGCTACACTTACTAATTCTAATAGCTTTTTAGGTATTTCTATAAACATGATCATATTATTTGCAAAAAAAAAAATACAAAAGATAGTTTTTCTTACTCCTTTCCAATTTGTATCCCTTTTTTTTCTTTTTTGAGCTGGTGCACTGGCTATGACCTCCAGCACAATGTTAACCAAAGTGGTAGAATGAGCATCCGTGCTTATTCCCAATCTTAGGAAGGAAAGCAATCAATCTTTTATCATTAAATACAATGTCAATGGAAAGAGCATGGTAGATGTTCTTTGTCAGGTTGAAGGATTTCCCTCACTTTTCTGAGAATTTTCCTTTCTTTTTCAAAAGTATGAATAGGTATTAGTTTTTTCAAAAGGTTTTTTGTATCCATTGATATAATCATGTGGTTTTTCTTTTAGGCTGTTAATTTGGCAAATTTTATTTCTTGATTTTTAAGTGTTCAGCTTTTCTATCTTCCTAGGATAAGCCCTACTTTTTCATGATGTGGCATGATTAAGATAGTGCTAGATTTTAGTCTCTAATCTTATAAAGAATTTTGGCATCTATGTTCACAAGGGATATTTATAATCTTCTTTTATTGTAATGTCTTTTTCTAGTTTTGATATCAGAACTCCCCTTAGCCATCTGGACACTGTAAATTGGGGGGCAATCACAGGACTCACTTCATCTTTTCCCTTCTTTCAGGACTACAGTTTTCTGCTGCCTGTTGTGCAATGTGTGGAAACAATTGTCTCATATACTTTATCTGATTTTTGGTTGGTTATAGCAGGAGGGTAATTCCTGTAACAGTTAATCTTCATGGACGGATTATTTTAGCTGTTAGGAAAGTCTGTTTCCTTACACTTCCTTATAACCTTCATTCACTGAGATGCACTTTGGAGTCAGTCACATATTTAAGTGTAGTCTTTTCACCCTAAGGCAGCTCTTCAGCTATTTGAAGGCAGGATTTCTGTCCTCCCAGGATTTTTCTTAGGTTAAGGATCCTCAGCTGCTTGATACTATGGTTTCAATACGGTTTGTCTCCTAAAGGTTTATTTCCTAGAAGCTTGGTGGGGGTGTTGAGAGGTGGAGTAGCCATTAAGAAGTGGGGCCCAGCTGGGCAGCAGTGGCTCACGCCTATAATCTTAGCTACTCAGGAAGCAGAGATCAGGAAGTTTGCGGTTCGAAGCCAGCCCAGGCAAATAGTCTGTGAGACCCTATCTTGGTAAAAAGGGCTGGTGGAATGGCTCAAGGTGTAAGCCCTGAGTCCAAGCCCCAGTACTGGGGAAAAAAAAAAAAAAGAAAAAAGTGGAGCCCAGTGGGAGGTAATTTGGTCATGGGGGTGATGCCCTTGGAAGAATTAATGCTTATCCCATGGGAGTGGGTTAGGTCTCACAGACCTGGATTGGTTGCCATGACAATAGTTTGTTAGAAAGCATGGCACCTCCCCTTGGCGCCCTCTTGCACACATGTTCTTCTACATGTGCTTCTCTAATATGTACCCCACCACACGATGTCATCTGCCATGTTATGATGTGGCATGAGGCCCTCACCAGATGTGGCTGCCAGAGCTCGGGCTTTTCAGGCTTTCAAACCATGAACCAAAATGAAATTTTCCTTTAAAGTACCCAGTCTTCAGGTTTTTTTTTTTTTTTTGTATAGTAACACAAAAGGAACTAAGGCACCGAGCTATTTCTTATTTGAACAAGGAACTTTATAAATTTGGTTAGGTTATTATTGTCAAAGTTCCTCTTAATAACAGTGGTGCTTGTGGTTGAACACAGTATTTCAGATGTCTTATAGACCAAAACAGAATAATTAAATTATCTTTTCACACTCATGGCAAAATTAGTACCATAAAAAAGCCCCTATTTAAAAATGAAAGCAGACAATAAAAACAGCAAATTCTATACTTTTGGGTTTGATTACAACTTTAGCATTTTGAAAAGCAAATGTGATGAGATCACCAACTTTCAGTTTTTAAACCCTGTGAAGGTTTCTGTATTTAAATGTTGGTTAAAATGATTTATTTGGGAGAAGATATTTGGCCTTTAGGAAATTATTACTAGGGAAGCTGAGACTCTTCTGGGTTTGTTCTAGGGAGGCAAATTGAAAAAATTGTTGGTTGCTTGAACACTATTATGTACAGTTTTCAGTCACACAAATTTACATGGTAAGCTGATAGGGCAACTTCTGATTGGACAAAAAATAATTCAAAGTTACAATTTCTCATGCCTTTTCTACCCTATTTGACATAAAGAGAAGAGAGAGAGACAAAGAGACCAAGGTGGGGGCGGGGATGCTAAAAAACAGCTAGGATAACCATGGCATTTCTTTTTTATTCATTCAAATAGCCTAAACAGGGTAAAAATGTACAGTTGAGGTATAGGAAAACTGTAACAAACAAACCCTAGACAGAAATTTTAATGTCAGGTTAGTTAGTTTGGGGGCTAAGAAATGGATTAATACATTAGTAGGAAGTCCTATTATTGGAAAAATCCCTTGTGTCCCAGTGGATGGATCATGACTGCTTTCACATCTGTCACTGGACAGAATTCAGATCCTTGTGGTTGTAGAACTGAGTTCTGAGAACTGAACACAGTATTTCAGATGTCTTATAGACCAACACAGAATAATTAAATTATCCTTTCATACTCATGGCAAAATTAGCAACATGAGTTTCTTAGGTCTGAATGTCAACTGAAGACAATTTTCAGCCTCTAGAAGTGATTCACATTCCTTGGCTCATGACCTTCCTCCAAATTCAAAGCCAGCAATGGTGAGTTGAGCCTTTATCAAGCCTCAGATTGTTCCCCTCTCTTCCAGTTTCTCTCTCTAATGCATCTGGGTAAAGTTCTATGGTTCATGTGGTTAAGATTGGACTCACCTGGATAATTCAGGCTAATCCCACCATCTCAAGGTCATTACCTTTCTCAAATATGCAGTCTCTTTTTCCATGTAAGATAACATGTAAGTTCTAAGGTATAAGAGGTGGACATTTTGAAAGGGGCAATATTCTACTTATAACATAGCCAATGTGAAAAGGTAAGAGAAGTTATTACTGATACTACAAAACTTAAATTAACAAGCATCTGGTGTCAATATGGTCTGGTTTTACCTGGTACATCTCCTTCCTTCCAGGGATATCAAGTCTCCTTTCTTTGACCAAATTCACTGGCTTAGGTGACTGACCATACAACGTTTTCCTACCAGTAATTTTTATCACAATCTTGGAAGTCATATGTGCTATTCTCTCTTGTCTTCTTCCTTTTACCACTAAGACCAGCTTACATACTTCTTTAACCCTCTTCCAACTTCTCTTGTGATATAGATATGTCCTGTTTAACTCCCTTATCTAGTCTCCTAAATTTTTCTGGTTGCCTTATGGGAAAAGAAAGACATGAGCATAAAACAGGGATTGTCTGGTGGGTGGGAAAATAAACCCACTAAATACTGCTTGAAAAATGGGGTGAGGAGGGAAAAGATTAGAGAATGTAATAGAATGGGTAAATTTGATCCCAGTACATTATATGCATTTATGGAAACATCAATGAAACCCCTTTATGAATTAATTTATGCTAATATAAAAAAGAAATATTCTCATTTCTGTTTTTCAACATCCCTTCTTTGTTTCAATGGCAATGTAAAGGCAAATTTTGGGAACAGCTTTTTTCCAAGCTGAAAATTGCTTCTGCATGTCTGTCTAATTCTAAATGAGATTAAAAGAAAGAGAAGCTCCAAACCCTCATCGTGAAAAGCAAAGACTGGTCATGCGTGACTCATCTGCTCTGGATATTACACTTTTACTTTTTTTTTTTTTTTCCATAGAAACCTCTCAGAACACTCCATACTTTGGCAGTTTGGATGGCTCTGACATGTACTTTATTGAAGTTCAGTAATCATTCCCCAATTTTTCCTTTTTAAAATATGACCGGATGAAATGAGTGACTGCTGAAGTTATCCATCTATTTTCTATAGATCTTAAAATCAGTACACTGAAAACATAACTAAGATACAGGCTAGAACACTCATCTTGTGCTTTCTACCAAAAGTAAAGTTACAGTAATTATTGGATACCACCAAACTAACTACTATTGGAGGTGAAGTCCAATGTTTTCTGAAAACATTACCCAGACCAGCCTAAACTACAAATAGGCATGGGATCATTACATAGTCAGACTCTCATTAAACACTTTCACATCAGAAGTCAATGGAGAGGCTGTACAATGCAGTCTTATTTCCAATAGCAAAACTAATGGAATAACCCAAGTATCCAACAAATGGGATTGGTTAAGTAAATTAATTTGGGTATATTCACATAATAAAATATCTTGTAACCCTTTAAAATATGCTGTAGATTGGCATTTATGACATTGAAAATTGTTTTGCTATATTTAGTATAATGAAGTTACAAAATAGGCCAAAATAGGCAAGTATACAACCTTGCAGAAAATAATAATTATGATATTATGAATTGTGGAGAATAACAGATTTATGCATAGAAAAATCAGAAGGATATACACTAAAATGTTATCTTCAAAAATCATGGTTTTTTTAACCAGTGGAATAATGGATGATTTTAATTTTTGTCATTTTTGATAATAGTGATCAGTAAAATTAATGTTATTGTTTTTTTTTTTTTCATTTTTCTTTTATTATTCATATGTGCATACAAGGCTTGGTTTATTTCTCCCCCCTGCCCCCACCCCCTCCCTTACCACCCACTCCACCCCCTCCCGCTCCCCCCCTCAATACCCAGCAGAAACTATTTTGCCCTTATCTCTAATTTTGTTGTAGAGAGAGTATAAGCAGTAATAGGAAGGAACAAGGGGTTTTGCTGGTTGAGATAAGGATAGCTATACAGGGCATTGACTCACATTGATTTCCTGTGCGTGGGTGTTACCTTCTAGGTTAATTCTTTTTAATCTAACCTTTTCTCTAGTTCCTGGTCTCCTTTTCCTATTGGCCTCGGTTGCTTTAAGGTATCTGCTTTAGTTTCTCTGCATTAAGGGCAACAAATGCTAGCTAGTTTATTAGGTGTCTTACCTATCCTCACCCCTCCCTTGTGTGCTCTCGCTTTTATCATGTGCTCATAGTCCAATCAAATTAATGTTATTGTTTATAAGCCAATGAAAAACAATTCATTTAACTTATTTCATAGGCAACCTAGACCTTCAGAGATGAGAAGGTAAATTTTTTGGCCACCTAGCCAACTCCCCTGCTTCAATAACACCAGGTCCATAATCTCCAACATTTAGAAGTGTTTTTACCATATTACTTTCTTGAATTGTCACAATAACCTCATAAAGTAAGACAGTTAAAGCAAATAATAATCAGCTTTACTGGAAAACAGAGGCACATTTGTGGAACTTAGGTTAACCATGCTGCCTTTCTTAGGAGTACAGGCAAACATTATCAGCAGCTGAGTGCAATACAACCTCCAAAACCTGAGGGGAAATCTTTTCCTCAAACAACTTTCTGACTTATTGCCAGTCTAGATTAGCCAATGAGCTCCAGAAGGCAGCTGATCAGCTAATCTACCATGTGTCATCTGTAGAGAGGGCAAAGGCTTACTCATTACCATTATAAGAGACACCACGCTGCTGCTGCCGCTGCCGCTGCTGCTTTTTCTTCTTGCATAGTGATACAAAGATCGCCACTGCACATACGCCGGCTAGAAGAACTACAGCTGCAATATAGCTTCCTTGGTTTGAGACAGGCAAAGTGTTTCCAGGAACTAGAAATGACCACAAGATTCCAATCAGTCAGAGACTCATTTACAAAGGGTTTACATTTGCTGCTGTTCTATTAATTTAGTTGACAGCATCTCCCCAGGGCTCTAGAGCCAGAAGAGCTCGAAATCCACAGTATGAGGCCAGAGAAACTCCCACCTCAGTGCCTCAGAAGCTAACTAAGAATCAAGCTTGTGCTTCTGGCTAAATGCCTGCATGGATCTACCTTCCCTTCCCCAACGTGGGGATGACATTGACCAGGATCTGGAAGGAAACAGTCAGCCTGATCCCTGATACTGGAATCTGGGTAAAGCATTTGGGCTGAAGCTCTTCATGTAGAGTCACCGGTAAAATGCCTTGCTACCCCAGCCCAAGTGCAGTCCCCAGGCCCTGATGTTGCCCTTGTAATGGTTCCTTCATCCACCGCTATCTCCAGGTCATGCTCTAGATAACTCTCACTTGGACAAACTGAAACGCCTCCTCCCATGCCCATGCCTCCAGTTTGTGTTTCTTTGGTCATTATTTTTTTCACTAAGGTCACAGCAGGTTTCCTCAGCTTCTTCAGCTTTCAGCATGTCTCACCTATTAGAAAATCTTTGATATGTCTCCATCCCCTGAGCAATCAGATTCAGCATCAGCTCTCTGGAGGTAGGATTTATTTACACAGGAATTGCTAAATTTCCAGGGAGTTTAAAAACATGCTTTGTGATTGAAAACTGAGTGGCTCATTGTATAGAACTTGTGGGGGAATAGTTCTTGTAGTTAATCCCAAATTATAGAAAAAATAGTATCAGCTGTTCTCCCACTAGCACAATTTGGAGACACAGGAATTGTTGTCAGTGTCAGCCATATTCAATACCTTTTCAATAAGTTCCAGTGTGTCTCACTTGAGCCTGTTTGACTTTCCAGTAATCGGTGGCTCTACTCCACATGGAGGCTGCCACCCTTTGGCACTCAACAGGATCCTTGGCTTAGTATCTAACCTGATCAAGCTATAGAATATGGATACAGAGAAGTAAGCCCCATCTTCCTGAGGCAGCTATGATGAATCATTTCTGAAAATGGTGGTACCCAGGGAGGTTTTGTCAGCAGTAAAGAAGCAGTAGAAAAGATGACCCATGGTGAGGATGTAGTGGTGCCAAGTTCCTGCTCATTTTTAGACTATGGGAGCCATGCAGAGAGCCCAAGGCATTGCATGTATGTTGAAGCTAGTGACTACACTGAGCTGTTGAACTTCAGGCAAGGCGTAGTGAGGCTTCCATCAGGCTAAGAGATGCTGCATTAGAAGCAACCAGGATAGTCTGGGTGGCCCATCCTTTACTAGACTCTCAGATGTCTGAGTGGAAGTAAGTCAGTACCAGGAGAGGGGACGGCCCCAGTTGTAAAAATGGCCTGTGGGCACTAGCTCTAGGACTTTTCCTGAGATTATGTCCATAGGCCAAGTTATGTCTAAACTAGATACCACGAGCAAGGAGGTAGCAAAACCAGGGGATGGATCAAGGGTTGGATGCATGCCACAGAAAAGGGCAAACCAAGGAGCCAGAGTTGGAGAAGGGACCTTGGTGAGCAGAAGACAAATGAGTGAGGAGAAAGATCAGGCTCAGATCAGCAGTGATGGGGGTTCTGTGGGTGCAGAGTGTCTTTATTCTATAAGTGAAGTTTGCAGTTACTATTCTTCAAAAATAGAGTTTTAAATATAGATGACTGCCTTCTGGGGCAAAGAAGCTGGGACTTTAAAATGTCAGCTCCTATCAGTGGGCACTTCTTGGTTTCAACCCCTTCCTCCAGCTGAACTAGCTCTTGTAACTCTTCCGTCTCTGAGTCTTTCTTTGACACACCTCCTGCTCTCCCATCAATACTGCTGATCCATGTGGTCCTCTCACCTGCTAAGCATGGATGCTGACTCTGAATTTTTCTGTGCAGGAAGTCACTGGAAATTTAAGAGTCTGTCATCTAGAATTCCCTTCCCTCTAATCACCACACTTACTAAGACAAATATTCTCTTTTACAGTATCCCACCACTGTTAGGAAGCCTTCCCTGACCCGCAAAGATCTTGCCTGCCTCTGAATGCCTATAAAACTAGTTATCAGTTTGTTTTAAATTTAGTCACACATTTCCATGGAATGTAATTTAGATTGAATTCAATCAGCAGCACAAGTTCATAGCCTCTTGGACTTTGCCTCACTTGAATGCAGCAGGACTCCTCCATCTAAGTCCTTCCTAATAAAATCATAAAATGGCCTGGTAGGAGGGCTTCTAGCAGGCAGGGGACATTGGATAATTTGCCTTAACATTTATGTGTAATACCTGGTGAAATAAACAGTCTTGGGAAGCAACCTTACCTATAGGCAAAGGTTGGGAGAAAAGCTCTGCCTCCATTGACTCAATTTGCAGGACACAAAAGATGGTCACATTGCTTTCACCATCAGGGAATGGAATAGATGAGCTGATAGAAACATCATACAGTTGTGTGACATTATGTTGAGATATGTTCATGTCACCATCATACTTGGTAGTTGAATTCTCAGTGCTTAGACAAAAATACAGCTTCACAGGTCTTGGATAACCTTGTTTAGATGAGCAGGTCAAATTTATGGCACTCTTTCCTGTTATATTAGAAATTAGCACTATTTCAGGTTCACTGAAGTTAGCTAGAAGCAGAATAGAGATACAAAAAAAAAAATCAGTGTAAACTTAAACATACTTACAGGATAATAGCAAAGCAAATAACTAAAATACCTGATCTGGAAGCTTACTGGGACATTCTTGGGAATCCCAAGAATGGGCCTCAACCCATGGTAAGGACTATATACTGAGCCTATATTTATTTTTTTAATAATGCTTACCCAAATCAAGGGGTACACAGAAAGGGGAGCTGAGATTAACTCACTAAATGTTTACAATGAAGCCACTATTTCATTAAGGAGAGTCTTTGGAAGGAGACCTGACTTGACTATAGGACCCAAATTCCCCAATAGGTACATTCCAGTTCTCCAGACCAAGAAAGCAAAAAGAGACTGAGCTAAAGTCCCATGAAATGAGTTCATGGTGCTGTCATGCTATGTCTTATCTTTAAGAAACCCAAGAAGGTTGTTGCCATTAGTTTTAGAAATGGCTTTAGAAATGTTCAAGTTGTCCTTGAATTGTCTAATTATGGACATCAGCAGTTATCTCCCTTCTACCCTATAGAATACTGTGACTTATATTTTCTCCCAGATATAGATACCTGCCTTTTTTTCAAAGTATTTATTTACTGTTGTTACTATCTGATTAGACTGTATTAAGTTTAAAAACCTTGACTTAAAAAAAAAAGAAATCTAAGTAGAATGGTATTAAGTGGGGATTTGGGATTTAGAAATTCAGAATACTGCATTTTGGCATAACTCTCAAGGTGTCTTTATCATATAGTATAAAATTTTGACCAAATCTAGCCGTTTTAGGCTTGAAAAACACACAATGCTTCTTTTGCTGCTGTTGACTAGTCATGTTTTTATGGCTTTGAAGTTCACTGACACATAGACGCTGATTTATGTGCCTTCTGCCAGTCAAATCCCTTGCTCTTCTACAGTTACTAGGTAGTCTGCAGGTTCTATACACTAATTTATAATTTAGTATATTGTTTCTCAACTGGAGGGCATCTGCAGGTCATCTCTTCTAGTTTTGCCATACCATCACACTATTTGCAGCCTCAGCTTTACTTCATGTTGCCTTACTAGCAATATCTTTGAATTCACAGGTTGAATAAGTTATAGTTCTAATACACTTAAAATAAATATAAAACCATTTTTAAAATGCTCATCTGTGTCTTTCCTAAAACACACCTGTTTCACCAATGGTACTTGGCTGCACCTTGAAAACATTGACTTAGGGTTTAGTTAAGTGCTCCAAAATTACTGCAGCCTAGTTTGATTCACACGGAGACCAGGGGGAGCAACTCTCCGTTCTATATCTATTTTTGCCTCTGTTTTACTCTGTGGTTTCAGAATAGGTATTGATCTGCTTTTTCCCATTTCATCAAGAAAGAATCTGGATCCAGTAATACCATGCTTGAGTATCTATCCCAGAGAAATGCAAACTTACATAGACACAAAAACCTGCACATGCCTGTTTATAGCAGCTCTATTCATAATAACCCTAAACTGGAAACAAGCCAATGTCTTTCAGTGGGTTGGATGGATAAACAATAAAATGTAACTCAGCAGTAAAACAAAATTTTAATGCATGCAACAGCTTGGGTGAAATTCAAAGCCATTATGCCAAATAAAAGAAGCCAGTCTCAAAATATTATACATATATGGCTCCATTTATATGACATTCCCCAAAAGACAAAACTATAGCATGTAAAGCAAAGGTTATGAGTTACAGAGCGTGACTCCATAAAGGGATATGATGAAGGAATTTTTTAGTGTAATAGAAATGTTCTACATCCTAGACATAGAAGGGAGAGTAGTAGCTACATATATCTATACGTAATCTATAAAATTAATAGAACTATGCACTAAAACAAAAAAATTTATTGTATGATAATCTAAAAGATTGGTAGCAAAATTTAGGCTTTTCAAGACCTGGTGAAGTAGAGAAACTGGCTCGCCAGTTTATGGGTTATGTTTGCTGGGTTACTCCCCTTCTGTCTACTGCGCTCATGATTAGGGTGGTGAACAACTCATAAGCAACCTATAGAAAGTTGAAGGGAAAACCCAAATCAGTCCGCTGTCACCCTTGCTAGGAGTTCTGTGCCAATATTTAGTGGGTAAGAAATCTTGGACCAAAGAAGAAAATGAATGTAAAAGATTTGAGGCTGATAGGGTTATACAAACTTAGTAATAGCCACATTGCCCATGGTTTTCATTTGGCCACGTTACTTTTGTTCAGCTAGCTCTATTTTGTCCCCAAAGAAAATCATTACTGATCCTTCAGAAGTAAATGATAAAATATCAATGACTTTTAGTTCTCTACTCCTCAACCCTGCACTCTCTTCAAATAGGCTTCCCAGAAATGGCTGACTTCTCCCTTTTCTCCATAGTCCCCCAGGCCTTTCAAATCCATATCCTTGATATTTCTCCACTCATTTGCAGTCTCATCTGAGAAGGGCAAGGATCTAAACACACTATTGACCACATACCAACTACTGACAGCTCAGTACTCTTTTGGTGGACATGAATCAGTCCGTTGGGTGCTTTGTGATGGATGAAACATTGATACAAGCCCCTCTCCTTGATCTGAACGTTGTGAAGTTGCAGGGTCCAGTTGTCCTGGTTGAAACTTGTACGGCCAATATACTTAGAAGCAACATTATCAAATTTGTCTTTGCCTAAATACAGTTCATATAGAACCAATGTTTCCTGGTCCTGCCAAAATACTACCAGTTCACTCAGGCTTAGGTTTTTTGAGTTTACAAATTGGCACGGCAGAACTGCAGTCTCGTTAAAATAAGCCTTACTCTTCAGGGAGGCAGCATCTAAAAAAAAAAGAAAGAAAACAAGAAAAGGTGGGTATTAGGGATGGCCAAACAAAAGGGAAGAAGAAACTAACTCTATTTCTCTTTATACAATGCCCAGATGCTGTCTTATCATGGAAGTGTGCGTCCATGCTGGACACCTGTAGATTATGACTTTTGTTCTTGTTTCACTGCTTATCGACTGTGTGGGCTTGTGTAAAACTGCAAACTTTATGAGCCTCAATTTCCTTATCTGGTTAAATAAGGGAAAGGACTGTGTCCTCTTAGTGATTTTTAAATTCCAAGACAGGTCCTGCTTCCAGGATGTTCTGTCCCTGGAAACTTTTACAACTCTCAGAGAACATGCTGGAAAAGCTCAGAGAAAGGCTTTGGTCCTTAAAGGCATATTGGCACTTAGGGGAGAAACTTGGTCCAGCCAACTTCTTAAGTATGATCAATCACAGTGCTTTTGTAGGACCTCTTCTGGGTCACAGAATTACTTGAGACTTAGCAAAGAAATTAAATAGTGGAAGATGAGAAGTGGCGGATGGGGAAAGAATGGTATTTCTTAGTTAATATGAAGTTAGCTGCTGCCGTGGGAAGGAAGTCAGAATAGGTTCTGAATAAAGAGCTTTCATTCAAGGTTTCAGCAAAGAGGGTTGACATTAAGGAAGAAAAGGAGGGGACATTTCATTTGAAGTGTTGTTGGTGGGTGGGAAATCAAATTGATCTGATCAGTAGGTTTCTCTTCAAATAGAGAAGAGATGGAGAAATAACAGTGATGTGTGCCTAGCAAAACTGAACTATGTGCAAACTAATCCAGTGAGAACATGTGATCAAGTGGTCAGCAGTGGTCTTGAGTGCTCTAGGCATCAATGAGGTGGCAAAAGTTTGAATTGGTACACATTGTATCACCTGCACTAGAATTCTGAAGCACTTGAAGTACAGGATGCATGTCTGTGTTGGGAAGAGGAGGGAAAATCTACCTGGGTTCCTAGAAGAGTGGAAAGGGGACCTAATGAAGATTTACTGTATTTGGTAATTACTTTACAAGGCAAACGTTGGCTTTCTGCTACACTTCTGCTAAGCTCCTAACAACGCAAGAGTGCCACCTACTGTAAACAAAACAAAAAAAAGCTCAGTGCTGTCAGGAGGGCATATGAATACGTTCTGGTTTTGATCTAATTTGCTATATGATACTGGGCAGATGACTTAAATGAGAAACAAAATACACAGCTAAAACTTGTGTCAACTATTGGGCAATGTTATCTTATTGCTCAGTTGTCAATTGTGACTTCTAGACTTCTAGACCTGGAAATAACTTCACCTTTAGTTTCTTCTGTCTTCTTACTTTACATATTTATGTGTGCAGAGCTTCACAGTACCTTCTTCCCTTTCCACTTACTCTCTCCACTCACAGACTGGTCCAATTTCTCTGACCTAGGCCTCTTCTCCCAAAGATTACAAGAACTTTCTCTTTTACCCATCTAACTGTTTCCTTCTTCACCTGCCAACCAAAAGTGTGCTCTGGGGACTAATGTATTGGCTTCAGCTGGGAGCTGGTCAGAAATGCAGAACCTCTGGCCCAATGCAAGACCTGAATCAGAATCTGCTCAAAATCTGCATTTTTAAAAACAAGAACTCCAGACTGAGAAGCTGCTGTGGTCCATATCTGCTTCTGTCTCCAGTGTGGATCAGAGAAAATAATGGGACAAATTTATTTCTACCCACCCGTCTCCAAACCCCATTTCCTCCCTATGGAGTAGAAATCACTCTGTAATCCATTTTAAGAGGAACTGAAAGTATTTCACAATTTATACTCTGTAGCTTCTCACCAAAAGCTGGCTTTCATGATATCACTCAGAACTAGGCATGGGCACCCTGCTAACCTTCTCTAGACCATATGGGGACAATTTGACTCAAGATCTATTTTCCCCAAGTGGTTTCAGGCCTCCCCTGTTATGACTCCAGAGTTTAGGCCTTCTATCAACTAGATTCTCTGAGACCCCACTGGTGGAAACATTGAGAACCTCTCCCATCTTCAGCACTTGGGTGAGAGAAATGGTCTATGCCTAGTTACAACTGAAGGCTGGGATTTTAGTGTCATAATCTAGGTATTCAAGAATTCAGCTAGACGCCTCCCTAATCAGGAGTTTGTGTTCAAAGACACTTAAGGATCTCCTCAGCAATTTTCTGTTCAAATACCACATAAAGCCCACAGTTTGCTAACATTTTGAGTCTCTGACCTTCCTTCCTCCCTCCCGACTCCACAATTTCAGTCATCTCTGGCCATTACCTCAATGTAGGTCATACATTCAAGGATAAACGTATCCTCATGTTACCTGCTTATTTGAACTCACGACATTTCCTTTTGTTACTAAGTTTCCTTCGGTGCGCTACGAGGCCCTGTGGAAGCCTCATCTCATTGTAATAAACTCTTTTATATCCTCTGTCTCTTCAATGAATATTTCCCTAAATGTTGTCTTTAATTTTTTTAAAGCCCTTCAAACTCAAAGTGTTGTCCTTTGATTTTTATTTTATTATTTTTTGGTGGTATTGGGGAATGTTGTTCTTTAATTGAAATCTGGCCCTACCCAAAGGAAGTCTCTTGGCCCCCAGCCACTGCTTGTTTTACCACTTCACAAGGAAGTTGAGAAATACCCTCTCCATTTGGTGGTGTATCCCTCTCTCATTGTTATTAGCCAGTGATTGGCCACTTCTCCCTTGCTCAAGAGAATTCTGGCATTAGATGCAAGGTCTTTCTTTCTAACCAATTCTTGCTATAAATTTGGCGACTTCATCACAGATGAGTCCACCAGTAACCTTGCCTTAAAGATTTTCATTCACAGAGTATTTCAGCAACTTCCTTCCATGATATAACCCTGAATCTTATCACCTGCAACAGCTCAACCTCTAGGGTCTTGGCCTCAAAACACTCCTCTCGATCCGCAACCTCATCTTCCTCCAGATTTTACTCTTGTTTTCTTGCTTCGATGTCTGACCTCCAATTTCATCAAGACCTCGGTCTAGTGCATTGTTTCCTAAAAGAACTCTTTGAGATGATGGAAATGCTCTTTCTCTGTGCTGAACAATGTGATAGCCAGTAGCCATTGTGGCTATCAAGCCTTTGATATGTGGCTAACATGACTGAGAAATTGATTTTTTGTAGTGCTGGAGACACTAGGTTATTAATCTTACTTAATTTTAATTAATTAAAGTTTAAATAGTCACATATAGCTAGTGGTTATCGTATTTTACAACACAACAATAATATATCTTTTAAACCATTCCTAGTGAACAACTTCAATGAATGTGCCCCTTTGTCTCTGTAGAATTCTCCTGAGGACGTTCTACTTTCAGTCAACGTATCTGTTCTTACAACTGAGTGGTTGAACACTTCTAGAGGAAATGATTCCATCATACAGACTGGTGACATTTCAAACTTGTAGTGTTCAACTTCTTTTAATTTGATCTCCAGGCCATTTCTTCTCTAATCCTTCTTTTAGTTTCTCTTTCCCTTCTTGTTAAACTCCTTGAGTGAGCAGAAATAGCTGCCCTCATTCCCTGCTCTCCACCACTCCTTCCTCTGCATTGAAACTATCCTGACAAGGACTGTTGGCAACTTCCCTCTGTTACCAAGCCCAGTACTCTTTTCTGATCTCATCTCAAACACTGCGTTGAATGTAGCTCACTGCTGGCATCTCTCTTTCTTAAATGCTCTATTCTTCCCCAGTCTCTGACTTAGGGGTTCAAGTGCCTATTCTTGGACTTCTCACTCTCCATCCTCTCCCTGGTTTTTCTCTTATATCTGCAAGAATTCAATTGCCAGGTATAAGTCCATGGTTCACAGGTGCTTGTCTAGCCTATAATATTTACTAGAGTTCCAGATACTGATATCCAACTGCCTATTGAATGCCTTCATTTTTAGATAGCAACAGATACTCTCTTCCTCCCCTTCAAACGTTCCTCTTTTATATCAATGAATGGTTCCCTCACATACCGTGGTCCACAATCATCTAGTCACCTGTAGGAAGAGAGGATCTGCACAGTTGTTGCCTAGGAGACCTAGAATTACTAGAGCCAGAGCTGAACTCTAATATGGAAAGAGAATAGTAGTGGCTCAATATGAAGCAAAGAGAAGGGCAATCAGAGAAAAAGACTCTTGTATTTATCTGGAGATCTCGGGGACAGGATCTTTCCTATCACTAAAGAGAGAGTCTCTGTTATAGAATAGGGATGGTTGTCTAGGGGTTTTTATGACCTGGATGACATTTATGTTAAGACTAGCTTTGCTTTGATTTCATGCTAACCATGCATACTGTTATAGAGATAAACATACACATTGGTTTATATATTATAGTGCATAGTTTATAAGCTATACAATGTATACTATGTCATGTGAAATATTATCTACTAAAATATATGAAGAACAATAGAATATGTAAAACACATCATTATGTTTAAAATCCCAGCTCATTGGAAGCATCAACTGTACCTCCCACTGTCCCTCACTGTTGTTGCTATCCAGCTTCCTCCCAGGTTCCCCAATTTATTGAAGCACCTGGCTTGCTCCTGTCAACTACCTCCTAATTGATCTTTGTCCCCAAGTCACATTCCTGAAGCCAAGATGATCTTTTAAAAATATATCTCTAATCACACAATTCCCTGTTCAAAAGCCTATGATGACTTTCCACCACACTGAAAACTACATCCAAATCTCTTCCTGCCATACTGAGAACCATATCCACAGTCCTTTCCACAACCTAGAAGGCCTCATGCAATCTGGCTTCTGCTACCTTGTAGAACTGTTTCCCTCACTTCTCTCTGCTCCAGGTACAATGGCTCCTTGTCAGGCCTCCAAAAGACTGGACACGCTCTGCCTCTAATTCTCTTCTCAGATTTTTCACTCCTTCCAGTAGGCTCTTTCAGATAGTCTCAGTTACTGTTTCACTTCATACAAGTCTCTCATCAAATGTTGCCTCCCAGGAAGTTTTCTTTGACCATCCTCATTAAAGATTGTATCTTTGTCACTCTCTATTCCTTTGGATGACTTTTTTTTTTTTAAAAATCATGGTACTTACCATGACATGGTAGGTTTGGTTATTGTCTGTCTCTTCTGAAAAGTGCAGCACCTAGTTAAAAACCTATGTGTGATTTTTTTTCAGGCCTGACCATAATCACTTATGTAGGCTTTTACCTGGGGAAAGCTGTCTCCCCACAGCAGACCTGGTGCACAGTAGTCTGGTACAGTCTCTGAGGGGAGTTGCAATGAATGGTTCCTTGACCATAGCCTCAGCTTGGGCAAGTCATGCTATTTCCCATATTTGCATTCCTAACCCAGGCACCTTCTTTCCTAGCTCTCCTTATCTAAGGCCTTGGGCAGAGGTTTTCTTTAGGTGTCTCTGCTGAGGTTTCCTTATAATGGGGAAGAGAAGAAGCCTAGAAGACACTTTTTCCAGTCTGAGTACCTAGGACTTTTCCATTCCTATCCTTCCTTCTTCATCTTCCTCCTCTGGCTCCCCCCACCCCAGATCCATAGAACTGCCAGATCCTTTTGTTTGGGGGTCCTTCCACAATAGGATGACCCCCCCCCCAGTCAGATCCTTAACTGGTGCATCAATTCATGAGGAAAAACGGAATGGGGGAAGTTGACCCTTCTTCCCATTTCAGCCTCTTTCTTCATACCATCACAGTAAGAGATCAAAAGCTTCACTTTTTCATTCTCGTCTTGCTGCTGTAATCAGTTGCTCTGGCACCTGACCACTCAGCTCTCTCTCTCCCAGTGCCCCTGAGCACTTGACATTTCCCATTAGAATAAGCTCTGCAAAAGCAGAGGCTTTGTCTCTTTTCTTCACTGTGACATTTCCAGGACCTTTAACTGCACCTTACAAATATTAGCACTCAGTAAATACTTTAAGAGGAAATGAGTACAAATGTCTCAATTATAATCAGGGGAAGCAATTTAAACTTCAATGAGATAAAATTGTCAGATATTTTAAAAAACTAGCATAAGAAAGAGTAACAGGGTGATCAAAATGCACTATATGTATGTATGAAAATATCGCAATGAAGCCCCTTTGTGCAATTAATTTACACTAATAAAAATACTGGCAATATCTATTGTCCAAGAGAGTGGGGAAATGGGTCCTCTTATGCACTGTTGGTAAAATTCTAAATTGGTACAATTTTTTGGAAATCAATGTGCAATAAAATTAATTATATGTTTAAGCCTTGACTCAGAAATTCAATTTCTAGGAATTCATTCTATAAAATGATACATGTATACAAAATTGGATTTACATAGATATTTATTGTTCACATGAACAACACCAAAGAAGTAAGTAAATAATGATACATAAAACAATAGAATGCCATGCAGCTGTGAACCAGAATGCCATAGGGCAGCATAACATTATAGTTGAGTATGGATCTGGACAAAATGAGTTCAAATTCAGCTAAGTTACTACTACCCATGTTACCCTAAGCAAATTATTTAACTCCTCTAGGTCTTGATTTACCCTTGTGAAAAATAGAAAGAATAATAGTACCTACATCAGAGAGTTTTTTTAAGGATTAAATGAGTTAATATTTCAGTTAACATTTGAATGAATGCTGGGCCAAGTAAGCATTCTTTAATAGTTACTTATTTTTAGGGTTGATTTCATGAACGTTGAGAATAGATAGTACTTACTAGAGGCTGAGGAGAATAGGGGAAGGATAGGGAAAAGTTGGTTAATGGGTACCAGGTGACAGGAGAAAAATGTTCTGGTATTTTATTGCAGAGTGGGGTGATAACTGATAATGGCAGTACACTGCATTTTTTAAAAGCTAGAAGAAAAGATAGTGAATGTTTTCACCACAAAGAAATGCTAAATGTTTGAGGAGATGGAAATTCTTACCCTGATTTGAACATTACACAATGTAAGATGTATTGAAATACCACATATCACTCCATTATTATGTACAATGTTTTATGTGGCAAAACTTTTTAAAAAGTTTTTCTTTTATTTTTAGCATTGTTATTATTGATAAGAAACAAAGTGTATGAACATAAAATCAATAATGTATAGAAAAATTTATTTTGAACGAAAATATTTTAAAATATGTATACTTAAGATCCTTAAAACTTGAAGTAAAGCACACCCACAGTGGGGATACATAGAGAAACCCCTTTGAACATCAACTTAAATATTAATAATGAAAGGCAGGACTATAAAATAGGTACAGTAGGGGGTACTAGTGGGAGGGAGAGGGTAAATGAAGGAGATTAAGGTGAGGGTATATGGTTGATGGACCTCATACACTTATATGAGGTAGAATAAAGAAACCTCTTGCAATTGCTTTAAGTGGGGTGGGAGGGGGTTGAGGGACAGTGTATGGGGATAATCTAGCCAATATATAAACATAAGCCTAATCAGAATTGTCACTATGAATCCTCCTTGTATGACAAATATATCCTTATAAAACATTTTTATAAATTAAAAAAAAGAAAATGTAATGAATTTCTTACCTTGTTAAAAAAAAACTTGTAGTAACTTGTTAAAAATATTAAAAATATAAAATATTAAAAATAGAAGAAATTCAACGATAAAATATTTATGGATGCGTTAGCAATTTGGAAATTAGAAATACAGATTAAGAAAATCAGATATAGTCTACAATAAACATAGCTAAAGTTTAGATTGAATATAAACAGCTAAAGAGAGAATTATGACTCAGAAGATAGTACTGGGAAATTCTAATACTATCAACATAGAGGAAGAAATTTTAAAAAAGGAATGAAAAAAATTAAAGAAGAAATGGTAGATAAGCAACATTTGAAGAAAAATTATGACTCTTCAAAATTGAAGAAAGACATGAGTCCTCAGATCAAAAATGCATTTTAAAGCACCAAGCAAGTGAAAATGAATGCATATCTAGAAACATCATAGTGAACTTTATTTATAAAGTATAAACTTTTTCAGACTCATAAAGAATCAAAAGATTCTTTTCATTCTTTAAAGAATAAAGAAAGAATACTTATAAAACAATGACCATTACACCAACATAAACCAATGAACAACAAGCCAGTACATCAGATGAGTAAGACACAGAAAAATAAAGCAAATGAG